GGGGGTGGCTTTTCCACCAGGGTGATGGTTTTCCAGGGATTCCTGAGGGGTGTGATGGCTTGGGGTGCAAATTCTGTGGGCCCCAGGGGTGTCTCTTTCCAAACCCAGAGTCCGGCAGCAGGGATTTCCTCGGGGGAACAGGCTGCAATGACAAATGACACCCCAAAACCTCCCATGGCTTTTTAAGCCCCTCCAGGTTCTAAGCCTGCACCCGCTTGATTGAGCACCCCCACCCCAAGGAGCACATGGTGCACAGGGAGCCAGCCCACGGTGGGTGCCAGGAGCCCCCCAAGCACCAGTGGGTGTCAGGAACCCCCCGAGCACCCCACAGGACAGGGGTGCTGTCCCCAAGGTAGTTGGGATGGGTGACAGCAAGTGAGCCACCCTCGCTTGTCCCTGCTCCACCAAGGGTGTCCATAGGGTGAGCATCCCGCTCTGGGCTGGGCTGGATCCACTCTGGATCCATCCCAAAACCCACCCTGGTTCACCCACCCACCCAAAAGAGTGCTCTCCCCCTACATGACACCCCCAAAACCCAGGGTCACATCCCCCATGGGCACCAGTAAGTCATGGAGATCCTGGTGCCCAGGGTCTTCCTGGGCACATCACCAGTATCACCCAGGTTGGGGACTGCCAGGCCTGGGGGCAGGGGCTTGTGCCCCCCACCCCGACACACACACAGGCACTTAAAAAACTGATGGCTTTATTAGAAACCAGAGAGAGAAAATATTTAAAAAAGAAAAAAAAAAAGCTGGTTTTTGAGATGAAACATTTGACGCACAAACAAGAAAGAGGAGAGGGTAATTTGGGGGAGGGCAGGTGGCTTTTGAGGGACACCAGCCGGGAAAAAAAAAAAGCTGGTTTTTGAGATGAAACATTTGACATACAAACAAGGAAGAGGAGAGGGTAATTTGGGCAGGGGAGGGCAGGTGGTTTTTGAGGGACACCAGCATGAGGGGGACATTGGTCCCAGAAAAAGCTGAAAAATCCCCCCGGGGAGAGCCCCGGGGCTGGGGCGGTGATCCAGCACCCACCCCAGGTGAGGGACATGGGACAGTGGCTCTGGGGAGCCACCTGAACCCCCCCAAAAAACCAGGGAATGGCATTTTGCTACCAGTTTTGGGGGATCCTTTGAAGCTTCCTCAAGCCCCACCAGCCCAGGCAGCTGCCAGAGTCTGGAGGGGCTGGAGGGGGGGGGACATGGGGCCAAAGACCCTCCAGCCCCCCCTGGGCGAGGTCAATAAAAGCCCTTTCATATTCCCTGCCCATCCCAAAGGCTTCACATTTGGGGCAGAGAAGGTGACCGGGGGGGGTGTGTGGCTGCTCCCCAGCCCCGCTCCCCCCAGGCCAGGGAGTGGGGGGCCACAGTCCCCATGGCAGAGGAGGCTGGGGGGGCACCGAGCACAGCTCCCCCCTCCCCAAATCCTTGCAGATGGGGGAGAAGAAAGCCCCAGGGCTGGGCAGAGCCCACAGTAGGGATGGGAGAGCAGCAGGGGACACTGGGGGGGCACAGAAACCTCAGCCCACTAGTGTAGTGAGTGTGTCCGTTCTCTGCCCTACCCCCAGGGCAGGCAGAAGCCCTTCAGGTCCCTGCAGCCACCATCCATGGACGGTCTTCTCAATGAGGAGGGGGGTCTCCAAGCCCCCTTGGAGGGTAGTGTCCAGCTGGGCTGGATGGTCCCATGCCCAGGGTCCTGGGCACACATCCCTTATGGCCTCGCTCCACCGAGCCCCCCAGGGCTGGGGCTGCACCCGAGCACCCACCGGCCAGTGGGGAGCTGCCTTGGGTGGTCCCAGCCGAGGGGACAGGGACAAAAGGGGCCCCCATCACCTGGTCAGTCTTGCAAGAGGTGGACGAAGCTGGCTGGGAAGACCCCGGTGCGGGAGCCGTCACCCTCGATGAAGCCAACCTGGAGGTGCAGAGATCATAGAATCATAGAGTTGTCCAGGCTGGAAGGGACCTCCAAGGGTCATCTAGTCCGACCCCCCCACAGTCAGCAGGGACACCCCCAACTAGACCAGGTTGCCCAGGGCCTCATTGAGCCTCACCTTGAATATCTCCAGGGAAGGGGCCTCAACCACCTCCCTGGGCAACCTGTTCCAGTGCTCCACCACCCTCACAGTGAAGAACCCTCTCCTAATCTCCAATCTAAATCTGTTCCCCTCCAGCTTGAAGCCATTGCCCCTCGTCCTGTCACTACAGGCCTTTCTAAACAGGCTCTCCCCAGC